TCTCTCTCTCTCTCTCTCTCTCTCTCTCTCTCTCTCTCTCTCTCTCTCTCTCTCTCTCTCTCTCTCTCTGTCCCTCTCCCTCTCCCCTCCCTCCCTCCCTCTTTCTCTCTCTCTCTTTCTTTCTCATTTCCCTTCGTAGGTTCTATACAGGCAGATGAGTGTCACAGCTGTAACTGAGGCACAGAGCAATAAACACAGCGGAGCCAATTTCCACGATGGCGAGAGGGGCCACCGGAGGTGACAACAATGACAAGGACTCAAGGACCGTCCTTCTGACAAGTTTTAGGTAAGAAAATATTTATGCTTTGATTCTTGCATTTTTGCATCTCTGTGGCTGAGAGAGACATTAAGATATAAAGCGAGTCTCAACAGGGAAGTATTTTCTTGAGGATATCATCTGTGCTGTCACTTGCCTGCAAACCTGTGTTCTCCGGGCTTTGTGTTACTAGAATTGTTGGAGGTGAGGTGTGAACGGGGCTGGGTGAAAGGGTGAGCTGCTTTTTATGTCTGTCTGGTGACATTTATCATGCTGTTTAAATTCATATCTGGAAAAAATTCTGTTTGATGATAGTTGCAATGTTTTGTGCAGCGTGGAGCATATGGCCGTGTAGAATTCAAGCGATGCTCTTTCATTCTTAATTTGTAATTATTTTTACACTCAACTGTACTGAGGTCAGAGAGTTTTAAAAATTAATGAGATTCCCTGTGGAGTTCAAATACTAATGTCTATGTGAATTGCCACAAAAAGATAAGATTATGCTCATATATTTTTAACATAGGTTTAACATACTCCATTTGACATATATGAATGGTACATCACTTTATGGAAACCTAAGTATTTTGGAATATTAGTCCTTAACATTTTTTTAATGACTTGGAGAAATTTTGTCAAAATTAGACTGTAGAAAATGATTATTTCGTGTGGAGATATTGCTAAAACTTAATAAACGTTATTGTTATGACAGTGGAGAATACCTTATACTTTCGAGGAAATGACAAATAATGAATGAGCCACATGCTCAAAAAATCTGCAAATGTGCTTTCATCATAAGTAAGATATAAAATTCAGGAGATATTTAGGGTGAAAAATTGCTGGCACGAACAAAGAAGCAAGTGGGCACATAGATGAGAATTCTTTGTGACAAAAATGAATCCAGGGCATGGATTTAGGAGGTTAAGTGATTTCTACATTCTCAGTGCCCCTCAAAAGGGGTGAGTCCAGATATTTCAAAATGTACCAAAAACTTTCATTTTCCACAATTTAAAAACATTGTTTATGTTCCAGATACAACACATTGTTTAAATGAGGGGGATTGAAAAGCAGTCTGAGTATACAGTAATCGGGGCTAAAGATGCTTTTTTTCCGGAGTTCCCCATTTACAAGACCCATTCTGAGCTTCCTGTGATATATTGTTATGTAAATACTGTGCAGCCAGGGAAAGCACTACTATGGAGATTCAATTTACTTTGAAAGTTGTTCATTATAGCAGGGATGAATGTTATTTATTTGATGTGATTCAAAGGCTGGAAATGACTTTTTCATTGTGGCGCCTTTTGTAATGGGTGCAGGGTGATCTAATCTTTTTAATTTTGGCTTTCACACCAGTGAAGATGAAAAGAGATCTAAACTCATTTATCGGTTGCTAGGTCCTTCTGGAGACCCAAGTCCTGTTCTTGGTTGCTATGGCCAGTCTGACCTCAGTCTCTGTGGTTTTGAGGACTTAGCAGTCTTTTTTTTTTTTTTCATGAGGAGCATGTACCTTGATTTATGTCCAAAATTGTGGTTGAACGTCTTTGTCTGCAAGTGATAAATGGTGCCGAACAATTCATCAATTCTTACAAGTAAACACCGCTGTCCCACTAAAAATATGTTTTGTTCTGAGTTAATGGTATGGAACAAGGCAGCCTCCACAAACAGCTATCTATTATTGTGGAGGGGCCTCTGAAACTTGGAGCAAAGTGGAGGAAATTGGCATTCATTTTCTTGTGCATTAGCATTTTATTTGTGATTCGGCTGATGCGGCTTTAGGTGGATTGAGGATGAGAGGGTAAACCTTCTATTTCCTTACTTTCTCTCTAGTTGGGGCTTCGGATGAAACAGGCCCTCTGCAAACGCCTGGATTCTGCTGGGGCGCTAAGAAGTCATGAGTAGTTTCTGTGTTGGGGCTGGTCTCCGATTTGCAACTGCCAAGTGCTAAGGCATAGCAGGCAGATGTGCTGCGGCTCTGTTGCCTTCCGTCTCATGCTGGTTCTTTGAGGGAAAGCTATACCCAATATTGGTGACTCCCAGGAATGCTCTGCTTCTGTGCTACTTAATGGTCCCTGGACATCTTGCATTCTAGAACCTTGTTAGAAAGAAGTCATGGTGATTAAGAGGCTGTGGAGTATATAGCCTTGCTTAGCAGATGAGCTCTTACACATTTCCCCGATTCCTTAAAAACTGCTTAATTGATGCTGCAGGGAGCATACACTCTTCTAATAAGAGGATGGTGACAGAACAGATATCAAGAAAGGCATTTATTGCTTATAAGCACCATCAGCTTCCTTCCAAGAGAGATTGCGGCTTTGTAGTGTAGTTGTTTGTTTGTTTTTTGAAAATAGTAATATGCTAATGACTTTTATTCTAAATCGGCCAGCACTGAGTATCTTCAGGAAAACTGGGTTCCATAAGAAGTGACATCCTCCTCGAATTGAAAGGTAAAAATTAAACATTTTTTAAAGTGCCATTTGTAAGCCATTTCATGTGCTTCTTGCCAGTAGCATTAGAAACCTACTTTCTAAATAAAACTATTTAAAATTTGAACTATTCCTTTTAACATAAAAGGTTTAATGAAGAGACTCTTAGGGAATTTTATTGTTAGTCATTTGCTAAAATTGCCTGGCTTTTTTTTTTTTTTAACAAAATACAATCAGGCACGTTGTATGTTTACTTTCGGCCTTGAAAATAAGCAGATTTTTATATTTTAGAGAAAAGGATCGTTTTGGGGATCAATAAAAATGACCTGTATCTATTTTATGTAGATTTTATTCCTAGAACTGGTAAACAAGAACCAGGATTAGGTAATGCGGAAGGTCTCTTCCAGCTTGAAAATTCTTCAGAGTACTAGTTTTCCGAAAGAATGCATAAGGATGCCTTTATTAGGGTAATTGCACTTATCCAACTAATGTTTAGCTCCCTTTAGTTGAGCAGCAGTTAAAAGTTCTATGCTCTGTTGTACAGGTAATAACTGTGGCTGGAAGTAATTTCCAAAAAATTGATTTTTGGAGATATTTTTTTAAGCTGCTACTTTAGCGCTTTATTAAGACGGGTTTTGCAAAGCTCAGTTGTGGTTCCTTAACTTGGGTTTCTTCAGGTCTTCTTAAAGGTAATACTTTATGTGAGTGGTTAATTTGACAAGAAATATTTAATTCTAGGTATCTGAAGAAGACAAGTATTCGCTGGTATGTGGTATGTATCTCTGTATGTATATGAACATATTTTAATATAAAATGCCTTAAAAATTTCACATTGTGTTTTGCTTTGCTGTTATTTCAAAGGATTTAAGTGAATGTTGGATAGTGCTCAATTTCCTGAAATGATTAAATTCAGTCTCTGAAGAATCAGGGGAAAGGCCTATAATGACATTTTGATGACTTTCATTTTAAGGTGTAATAGAAATTGAGTAAAATATTTTAATAACTATTCTCTCATATCTCATTTCAAATACAATGTTTTTATTGCTCATTCTAGCTTACAATTTTCTGGTGATAATAATGTTGGCTGGTAATTGTTTCTTACATAGAAATCATTTTAGCCTTATGTAGAAGTTATTTCAGAAAAGTCTTCATATGTTTATTTCAGTTAAAGCAATTGTGTTGAACTCTTGAGATAAAATAGTATTTCCAGATTCCTCCTATTTTAATCTGGTACTTCCCTATAAGAATTAGGTGTGTCTTAAAGGAAGGAATATTACATATGACAGTTTGTGGCTTAAAGAGAAAAAACAAAGAGGCATGCAAATGCAAGTCAGGGAAAGGCTGAGAAAACAGAAAGAATAAATATTATATGCTATTACAAAATTGTGCTTCCAGATGTCATGTATTTTTTAAAATTTAAAAATGGGCTAAGAAATAATATATATTTATATAAATATGCAATTATTATATCTTTATGGAATAGGTAAGTGCAGATATATAAATGTAATATGATTGCAGCTAATGATACCAGGAACATATTTTCACCTCAATTCTTTCAGGTGTAGATGTAAGTAAAGTTACTCACATAGCTTTTAAAGAATCAGATCTTTTGGGAACTAGAGTTGTGACATATTATATCAATTTATGTAACTCAAAATGAAGCCCTTATTTCAGTTTTTCTGTGCAAGTTACACAAAGCCATTTGCTTCTAAACTGTGTTGTTCTAAATGCTAATTAGAAAATTTTAAATGCAATTTAACTTGATTATAATGAATATTTGAAGTTAAGATATAATATTATTGCTGAATTAGCACGCCAGCAGTGCAATTTTTTTATGAAAGTAAAATTTACCTGTAGTATAGGATTATTCTCCTCTCCTAATACGTTTCCTAAATTTCCTTGAGTTTGCTTTCTTTTTGTAATTAATATTCCTTTCCACAATACTAGTGTTGTAGAACAACTGGTTACTCTTAGTTTTTCCTGACTACCATAATTTTGGCTTTTGTCTTTTTGGTGTGCCAATATTCTTATCTGTCACCTAGGAAGTTGTATTGACTTTAAAGCTATCTCTCTGACCTAGTAGTCTGAGTTTCAAAGGAAAAAAAAACCCAAAACTTGTATTAATAGAAATTGTATATAAAGTGCTGAAAGATTTGAGTTGGCCTTGGGTAGTTGTTCAAGGGGTTATTAGGATACTGGATTTTTTCACTAGTAGCAAGTTACCTGCATAATTTGATAAAGTCTTTCTTTCAGCTGTCTTCCTTTATTTTCCTCAAAATACTTTGCCAAGTAGCAAACCTTAGATTTACAATGAGCATCATCTAGAAAATTTAATATAGAGAAAAAACTGGCAGGGAAGGGGTGCCCTCTTCGATAGCTAGTGAACGTGTCACCCCAAGGTACTGTTCTATCATGTTGTCAGGACACATGGTCAAGTTTTATCTACCATTGTTTGTGTTTAATCACCTCCGTGATCCAACAGCAGGTTTTGATTTGCATTGGTATCAGTCAGATACTTTCATCTCAAGGATGTCAAAATGATTTAAGAAAATAAAAGTTATTCTAAAAAGCTTAATTATATACTATAGCACTCAGTGATAATTCATTGAAATATTTAAAATTTTGCTTAGATTTTAAAATGTGAAAATTGTAGTTTGCTCAACGGTGTTTGTGATTGTTTTTTAAATCAAGAGGTGGCATGTATAGACTTGTGATGACTCCGAGTTCTTCTAAAGTTGACTTCATGAATTTACACCATATAGTGAACAGAACTTTTTTACATTCTTAATAATATCTCTAAGCCTGACTTTATGTTCTTAATGTTACTTGGCATTATTTTAGCACATGCACTTGTGATTCATAAATCCTTGAATTTCCTGTATTTTCCTGACTGTTGAGTTCACAGTCCAAATTTAAAGACTAAAATCTACCATAAGGCTAGGAGTTTCCTTAGCGAAAGTAGGGCAAGGTAGCATACCGTGGTCGAGAACATATGGTGTGTAGTTAATTATCACAATCTCGAGGGTTTTAACATAGTTTACTTCAGGTATCATTGAAAATACTGGATTTTCAGGAAATATCTGAAGAATTCAATTTGCTAGAAATTTGAAACGTGGAAATCAAATTATTATAGAAATATCCACCCATATAGATTTAGAAAATACTCGTTCATTCAACAAACATTTATTTAGGGCCTACCCTGTGCTAGACACTGTTCTCGTGACTCTTAACAGTCACCATTTGTTTCATATTCATTATTTGCCTGATTTTGCAGATTATAGGAGTCTCATCAGTTATTCATACATCATCAGCTAATCACATCATAACCCATACCATTTTGGAACTTGTATTTCTCTTGTCTGTTCTTTAAATGGCTTAAAATGTATTCCAGGTATATATACCAATTTAGAAAGATATATTGTTACATCAGTCAGAATGCGTTTTAAGAAGTTATCTTATTAATATGTATATAAGAATGTGGTCTACAGACATCACACCTTTTCTCTCAGTATTCAGGCCCACTATGCAGCAGACACTCAGTAGGTCTTACTGCTTTTACACTTCCTTCCAATGCTTCTTGTACTATTTTAAGAGACTTCTAATTCTAGTTATTAATGGCTAACATTTATTTCCAATGTGCCAGAAAATATGCTAAGCCTTTTACCTTTGTTTTCTAATTTAATCCTTTAAACTACGAAAAAAGTATCACTATCCCTGCTTGTAGATGAGGAAACTGAGGCTTTAAGAAGTTAAGTAACCTCCTTGAAGTCACAGAGCTAGTTAGTATCTGAGATGACTTAATACTCCGATCTTTGAGGCTCTAGTCATCCTTCTAGTCATTCAACAAATTTTATTAAGCCTCGACGACGCCCTAGGCCTACCCAAGGTGTTTAGAATAAAGCAGTGGCTATACCAGGCAAGTCTCTGCCCTTAGCTCACAGCCACTTTGATACTTCATTGTGTTATTCCCCCTTTGTACCTATGGATTCCCCAGAGCCAATAGGAAAAAAAAAATAATTTCGAAACTTCTTTGGACTTTTCAGCATTTGGCTTCCATCTTTCCAACTGCATTATTGCCTATTTCTAAATAGGAATTTTCTACACTAGAAGGCTGATCTACTCATTGCACCCGCCCTCTGCCCCCAAAGTTTACCTTGTATTTTCTCTGGTCGTTCCTGCACCTGAAACACTTTTGCCACTGCCCCCCATCCTTCAACGTCTAGGTCAAAACCCATGACTTCAACAAAGCCTGTTTTAGAAATAAAATCCTAAAATTCTTTTATCTGCAGTCATCAGTTGACACATGACATTTGCAACAACTAATATAATTTGAGGCTAGGTAACATTTCACCTATTTCCTGTGTCCTGGATGCTTCAGTGTTTGCAGAAGTGCCCAGCTGACATATTGGCAGAGTTCAGGGAACTAGCAGTAAAGTAAGAGAAGAAAGTAAAAAAAAAAAAAAAGTAAGACTGGAAGGATTAGAAGCAAGAGCCCCACTGCCTAGCACAGTGTCTGCCACAGAGTTTGCAGTTAATACACATTCGAGGCTGGGAAGTGGGGAAGAGAGACTGACAACAGGAGGAAAGTTAGCAGGGGAAGAAAAAATAATATTCCAAAATTTATAGCCCAGGGCCTTCAAAGACCTTTAAATATTTATTTAGAGTCCAATTAAGGAATGTATAGACATACACAATAGTCTTTACTTTTAAATATATGTTTACTTCTTCTGGGAATAAATTGTCACTCTTGTTAATATTAATGCATTATGTACAGAATCAACTTTCTGGTGCAATTATGTTATGTTTGTACATTGTTTTCTATCACTATTCACATCTACGAAGTAGCTGACTCAGTTTCATTGTTTTATGGTGTACATGAGTATTTCTCTAGCCTTTGGGACATTTTTCAGTATCATAGCAGTTGCTGATTGTTGCACGCCCCCCCCCTCCCCGCAATACCCAAAAGAGCCATCCTCTTAACTATCATAAAGTTTTAATAGTTATTACTTCATGTTGGATTTTTT